CTGCCTCTAACGGTGATCCACACAATGATTTGTCAAAATCTCTTCATTAAGAATGTGTGAATCTCTAAGACAAAATTTGTGTTAGCAAACTCTCAACTTTGAGCTTCCATGTGTTTCTCTTTTTTGGCAACAATCCTATCTCAACACATTAGAAAATAAAAACAGAACTCTTTTGTACGTTCAAGAAACGACTAAAGGATTCCTTTATAGAGTGAATTGACCTACTTCGTATCTAATAAAAATTAGAAAATGTCTTGTGCTAATTGGGCCTTTGTTTAATACTCCATCAAATCATATTTAACTTAGCCCAATATTTAATTGGATTAAGCATATATAAAATCAATTAGATCACATCCAATTGAACTCAAATTAATCTTGGTAATTCACCTCATGTGTGTGACCCTTTAGGTGCCTAATATGTTAGCAATAAATATAAATTAATTCAATTAAGAATTTATATTTATGTTTATAAATCATGAGCAATATCTAGCAATATATTATGACCACTCAAATGTCAGAAGAGTCAATTTAGTTTGACTAACCTTTTTGTGTAAAGTATTTCAATGTAATTCAATCATTTCATCATAGATCCAAGATAGATGGAAAGCCCAGCTAGATGTCTACTTTCTAACTTATCCATATTAATGGTGCAACTTCCATATTGACCTATCAAGATTACCTTGGCCAAAGACTTTTAGTCAATATAAGCTAAGAGCAACTGAGATATGTCCCCTTCAAATCACTTAAAGTGATTAATCCTCTCTAAACTACTTATTCATCTTTGCATGCTTCATGCCACACCCAAAAGCACCCTATTTAAGCATCTGGTCAACTCCAGACTTGTAAAAGTGAAATCAAAGCATGAAAATTTACATACAAAATGACTTGGTATCACAAGTCCATGGATTACTTACACTAATAACACATAGGAGTATTTCCATAGACACTTGAGTGAAATACCAAATGAAACTCTCATAGCAAGTTATGTTTAGTGAACCTGTTCCTTAACAAGCACCCACACACTATCCCCAAATATCTCACATGCTTCAACCTATGAGATCAGTTGCTAGACATAGCATGTACTAGCCTTTAAGCATTATCAATGTCCTTATTCTTGACATTACAATGACTAAGAAAATATTAAGAACAACACTTTGATGCATAAGAATCTCATAATTATAACCTTTATAATTTCTTTGCAAGGCCATTATGTTATTAGGATTTTATCTACATAAGTCTTTTATAACTTTTATAAATAAACTTACGGATAAAGAAATATCTCATACATTATATAAAATAGCCATAATGTATTTAACATGAAATATGTCTAATTAATGTAGTGTTTTACAAGCACAAAATCGATTAGCTTGCAGGGCTTACACTAACAATCTTCCACTAGCACTAAAGCTAATCACCCAAGTATCTCATACCAAAGCCCTCTAAGTGGTGATCATGTTTCTGTTGAGACGTAACTTTAGTGAGAGGGTTAGCTAAGTTATTCACCATGGGTACTCTCTCTATATTAATATCACCTCTCCTAATGATTTTCTTGATCAGGTGATAACATCGCAATACATGGTTGGATCATTGATGATGCCTTTGTTATTTTGCTTGCACAATGGCCCCATTGTTGTCATAGTATAGAGTTACGAGATCAACAATGCTAGGAACTATACCAAGTTCAGTTATGAACTTCTTGATCTAAAGTCCTTCTTTCGGTACCTCGAAAGTAGAGATGTATTCAGCCTCGGTTGTAAAATCTAGAGTCTTTGTTTGCTTGGAACTTTTCAACTAGTAGCACTGCCATTTAAGGTAAAAATAAACCCACTTTGCAATTTGCTATCATCTGTAGCGAATTGGTATGAAGAATCTCCATATACTTAACTTGGATTTCAACCTCTTTATAAGACCAAGAAGACAACCTTAGTTTTTTGTAAGTACTTAAGGATTTTTTTCGTAGTAATCTAGTGACTTTCACTTGATTGGATTGGTATTTGCTCATGACACTCAAAGCATATGCCACATTTGGTCCGGTACATAACATGGTATACATGATGGGTCTTATAACCTATGCATACAATATCTTATCCATCCTCATCATCTCTTCTTGCATCTTCAAACTTATCTCTTTTGAGAGTTGAATGCCATGTGACATAGGTAATTTACCCTTCTTGGATTTAGTCATGCTAAACCCTTTTAACACCTTGTCTATGTAAGTGGATTAGGATAATCCTAGCAGCCTCTTTGATTTATCTCTATTAATCTTTATTCCTAGAATGTAGGCCCTTTCTTCTAAATTTTTCATAGAAAATTGTTTGGATAGCTAGATCTTCGCAGTCTACAACATTAGTATATTATTTTCATCAACATAAAGTACTAAGAATAAAACTACTTGTCTATTTACCTTCTTGTAAACACAAGAATGATCGAGATTCTTGACAAAATCATATTCTTCAATAGTTTCATCAAATCTGATGTTTCGACTCTTAAACTTTTACTTTAACCCTTAAATGGACTTTTGGACTTTGCATACTTTATTTTGATTCCCCTTATATGTAAAACCTTTAGGTTGTGTCATATACACTTTCTTTTCCAAATTCCTATTATGAAATGTTACTTTTATATCTATTTGCCATATCTCATAGTCATGATATGCTGCAATAGCAAGCAAAATCCAAATGGATTTAATCATGGCTTCAAGTGAAAAGGTTTCCTCATAATTGATTCCTTCAACTTATTTGTAACATTTAGCAACCATCCTAGCCTGGTACGTTTATACATTATCATCCATGTTAGTCTTTTTCTTAAAGACCCATTTGCAACCTATGGGTTTTACCCTTTTAGGTGCATCAACAAAAGTCCACACATGGTTGACATGCAAGGCATCTATCTCAGATTTCATGGCCTCTAGC